AGTTGTCCGGAGGACATAATATCCATGATAGTTTCCTGCTTCAGAATGCACTAGTCCACGGTTGGACGTTGGATAATATGGACTCTGGAAAATGTTTCTTCCTCTAGGTCTCCCTTATTATACTATCAAGTTGAGAAAACGAGATTAAACCACTTCTATACTACTAAATTGGCCTTAAGAGAATACATGTTCACTTTATGCTTAATTATAACTACAACTTTAGTTTCATAGTGGTGATGCTCTCAATGAAATTTGCGGAAGTCCCTTTCGGTTTTGGTATTGAAAGATTTTGATGTTAGCTTCGTCTACCTATTATATGCACTTCATATTCTTATTATCGATTACATTCATTTACATTGATTTCCCAACCAATCATGTATTAATAGAATTCCTAGATATTTTATAGCCCCTGATGCCTGTAATGCTTAATCAGTACCTTATTAACAGGTATAAAAGTGCAGACTTTGCTTATCATATTAATTGTCAAACTCATCTCTTAAAATATTTCTTTGACATACAACTACATGACTCCACTCTTGCATTATCCATATTCTTATTTTAGCTTAGATTAATATGAATCTATATTTGTTTCTTAAAAATAATGATACATGCACTTCCAAACACTTCTCTCGTTTTAGGTTAATGATCAGAGCCTGATTGATGTGGAGCATCATGTTGCTGTGGCCGCGCTGCGAGCCAACACCATTATCCTTAATCTAGTTATTTCACGGGACGCCCCTTATAATTCGATTAGTTCAAGAGAGATCAGTTCATCCAGTAAATCCGAGCCTAAATCCGGACCCCCAACCTCCCCATGCCTTCCTCTGACATCATCGAGATTACAACGTTCGTCTGGACCCCAGCCTTGCTTGACTTCTTTTACAATACCAGAAATATCAACAACTTCCAATATCGCTCCCTCGACGGAGGAGACTGCTTCCGGTTTAATAGCAGCTAGTGGCGAAAACGTCGATACTGAAGGGTTGCGATATTTTTCATCCTCAACTACCTATCCTGTTACCACTACGGCCAGCATTGCCGTCAACAGCTGTCCTCTCTTATCTGGCACAAGAGACTTTATAAATGGCACAAAAACTACGCCCTCTCATCTTATTTTCTCATTGCCTCCTGTGTCTGCAGCGCACGCTTCGCCTGATCACACACCTCTTCCGAATCCCGCATCAGTTACTTCACTGCTCCAGGTACATTTTTAATACATCTAGTCTTAAATAAGTTCTTTACACTGGCTGGTAAGGATTTTGATCATTACTCCGACGGAACCGGCTATGATTTCATACTACTATCCTTTAATCTCATACTTTATAACATTATGTCCCAACTCTATTGGATTTAATCTTATCTGAATGCTCGTTAATATATTTTCCCTTGCAATGATATCACTGAGAAAATGTTCATACTCCCCATAATTTACTTTTTCAGATACTTCATATTTCTTGACCCGCATTTATCGGACAAAACCTTACTTCTTCTGATCCACAGGTCTGCATATTCCCTTATCGTCACATTAATTCGGATTGAATGAAGGCTTTTTACAGGGCAACATTTCCCCTTAAAATTAGTGGATGACTAGTGACTTAAGCCTGTGCTAATGCTGCATATATATATATATATGCATATCTATGTGTTAACCCCTCGAAGCTATTTCTATGAAAGCTAGTATCAGGCTTGCTATCACTTATCTCCTTGAATAGACTTTTTCTGTTGATATATATCTGCAATAACAAAGACTTCCGAATCCAAACTCCAGTGATCTAAATGATTTTTACATTATCCCTTTCTCTGCTTCTTGTTCTAGTTTTATGTTTACCAATCGCTAGCTCGAGTTAATTTAACTAGTAACTCGATATTTTCAGTCTCTATTACTTCCTGGACTTTTTTATTATCACCCAAGCATCTTTCACTATTATATGAATACCCTACATAATCTGCTGAATATTGTAACATTTTGGTTTCTAAACAAGGTACCTACCCGAGAGCATTACTCATCCTGCCTTGGCTAATTATTTTAAATAATTCGTTAAGGAAATCGCAATTGTTACTGTGTTATTGCCGCATTAAAATGGCCACTCTAGCATCAGTTGAAGGGATTATGCAATTTTATTTCTCATTCTTTTGCTATTAGTTACAGTGAATAACCGATTGCTTAGTCTAGAAATCATATTTATGAGAAGTATAAGGCGGCTATGCACGATCAGGTTGCATAACTA